AATATCCGGGCCGGACTGTATATTTTAAAACAGCCTATATTTGAAATCATTATTATTAGCTATAAAAAAAATAAATATAATTTATTTAATAAAAAAATCCGGATCGGGTCTGAAAATTTTATTTTAAAAAAGGCCGGGCCGGGCCTAAAAATTGAGCTTAGCCGTAAAAATCTTTAAAAAAATCCGGGTCGTGCCCTGAAAATGGTACCTCTGCAGGGCTCTGTTATTCTTCTTAAAAAAGAGAATGTTCTCTCATTAGTTTACTATTGGGAAGAGTTGCTAATATATATAAACCCTTTTAATACATTGGGAATATAATCTAAAATGTGTTTGAAATAATGCAGAGCATCCATAGCATTTTTTGGGACTGTATCAACCATAGTTAATCTTATAAACATAGTTATTCAGCTAATAAGGCATCATAAGATACTTTAACATCTTCATGATAAAAATCCAACAAAAATTTTTATCTATCACCATCTGAAAAAGGTTGGGAAGGCATTTATGGAAATAATATTTGCAGATTGGTAAGTGCTGCATAATGAATTAAAAACCATTCATTTATTTGGTTTATAAATGTATTTGTATCTAAGATATACTCTTCTACTGATCCTATATTAATGTTTTAACTATGAGCTTGCCTTGCTGCAAGTCGAGTGAGACAAATATTAAACATGTATAGCTCTGCTTTTGACTTAACAATAACATATAAAACATGAAATTCTTCATAAACATTAGCCCTAATTTCCTTGAATTCTAATAAAATGCTCTCTGCTATTCTCATCTTCTTAATCAAGTCATCATGTTTTTGAAAAGTAATACATAAAATAGTTGTACATTATAATGAGAAAAAAAATTTGGAATAAGCATTGAATCCAATAATTTTCTTGCTTCTAAGGAAAAATTTCTTTCAGGCCATTATGATATGTCAGTAAATAGCAAATAATCGGCTCTTCTAACTCCATAAAAGCTGTTATTGCTTGATGGCGGAGACTCTATCTCGTAGGACAAGGTTGCAATTTCTTTCTCCCTGTTGGACAATTTAAGAATAATTATTATTTGACTAGAAATTTAATAATGGTAGATAAATATTACGCCACTAAAAATTTGAAAATAATAAGATAATATTAAGCCGGAAAACTTGAAATCGAAATTAATTGATAAACTTAGTTATGAATGTGATAATAAATGTAATTAAATATATATTTAATATGAGATAGGAATAAATATTAACAAATATAAATTAATATGTACTGTGTAAATTTAATTCAAAACATTTCCATATTTATTAATTTATTTGAAAATAAAATTATTTGACTTGTAAAAAGTTGTTAAAATAACATATTTATATATTCTTATCAATTTTTACAATTTAAAATTTTTATTTACAAACGAATTAAAAAATATGGAAATGTTTAAACTAAATCTGCACAACACTATAAACAAAAATATTTTTGAAAAATATATTCGGCATCTGCATTTTTTGGCTTGGGGGGGGGGGGGAGATTTGTCCCCATGTCCCCCCCCCCGGTACGCCAATGCTCTAACTCATTTACTCATCGCGTACTTTTTGAAAATGTTTCCAAATTTGATGCTTTGGTTTGACCATAATCACTAACATATTAAAATTTAACTATAAAAGATTATGATTAATGTAAAAATCAATCTTAATTATCGACCAATTATTTCAATAATTTGTCTTAATATTATATAAAATAAAATATAATATGTAACTTTTTACCAGAATTGAATAATATTTTGTAAATCTGACCAGAACAACTAAAAATAAAATTAATTTATAAATTCAAATGTAACTAAAGTAAAATAAATGAGAATTAATGTAATTTATACTCGGCATATAAATTTATTAAAAAATAAACCGTGACTTAGCAAAATTATTATATTTCATTTTAAAAAAAATTCTTTTGTTTTCGATTTCTTCATGATACAAATATATTTTAAATAAATAATTATCTTATAATTATGGACCAATTATTTTAATAATTTGTCTTATTATTATATAAATAAAATATAATATATAACTTTTACCAAATTGAATAAATTATTTTATCTGACCAGAACAACTAAAAAGAAATTAATTTATAAATTCAAATGCATCAAAAGTAAAATAAATGAGAATTAATATAATCTACACTCGGCTAAATATTAAATTAAATTTATTAAAAAATAAACCGTGACAGCTAAATTATTATATTTATTTATTTTAGTAATAAAAAAAATCTTTTGTTTTCGATTCCTTCAGGATACAAATATATTTTTAAATAAATTGTAACCTAATAAGATTGATAAACATGTTTGATGCATACTAGTTAATTATATCAAAATATTTATTCGTCAATAATATTTTAAAGTAATTGATCGGTCAAATACTCCTCCGGTCAATTAACCGACATGCCAACCCTGCTTCAAACTAAAATTAACGATATATCTTATTGTCTGAAAAGTATTAATTTCAGAAATTAGTTAAATCAAAAAAAGAAATCTTTAACGTTTTTTGGATAAATTTATTTGTAAAAGAGAATATTAAAGACAATTTAGATATAAAAAAACTTAATAAATCCGGATTGTTTTATAAAAGAATTTTATAAACATTTGATAATTAAAATAATAGATAAAATATTCAATGAATTTTCCGTTCGATACATTAAAAATATTAAATTTGAATTGTTAGATATTAGTATATTCCAAACATTTAATCAAAATTTCCCAAAAAATTTATTAGCCAATTTAAATGAAACGTATTCTCAAATTTATGATTTACCCAAGCTGGAAACAAAATCAAATGTAATGTTTCGGTACGATGAATTTAGAAAAATAAGAATATCAATAAAATACTTAAATTATTAATATGTCGTTTTGATGATGGTTTAAAGCGTTTTTTAAATTATGCGAATTCATCTTAACTTTACCTCCAACCTCCAAGTACAGAACGGGGGGTTTTCCAAAGATCCAAACCGAAACGAATATCGGTTCGGGTTCAGGTTCGGATAAAAATAACGGTTCAAGGTTCAGGTTTAGTTTGTAAAAAATTAAAATATCGGTTCGGTTCGACCCTCTAAGAACCGGTTTGAAAACTTTTGTATCCAAACCTACATTCGAATTATGTATAGTGAAAATATTTTTTTTATTTTATCATTAATTTATAAACACATGTATAAAACCATCATTTTTATTAATTGCACATTATAAAATATTTAATTTATAAATATAAAAATATATATCAATGGTTAATTTTAATATGAACAATATTTTACTTTTTTTTACTTAAATTTTTTTATTTAGCCGCACAATTAATATATTTTCAAAATTCGTCTCACTCAAATTACATATATAAGGAGATAGTATAAATTTAATTGTTGAAAAACATCTTTCCATACTAACTTGGGTAGCCGGCACTGCTAATATGATATCAGATTTGATGTGTCATTTATAATAATATTTTGGATTTAATTTTTCTCTAAGCATTATAATTTATAAGCTTAAAATATTTAAAATAATGTTGCAAAATGACAATATACTAAAGTTTATAAAAATTATGACCGACACTTATCAACCAAATGTGATTGATGATAATCTTTAAAATAATTTGAATGTAATTGAAATTTTTTCAATATACTAATAATAACTTTAGTTTTATAAGCATAAAATCATGATGCTCGAACCGGTTCAGAGACATTTTAGCGGTTTGGTTCAGGTTCGGCTAGAATTTTTTTAGATGTTTAGGTTCGGTTCGATAAGAAATACCGGTTATCCCTGGTTTTCATCTTTAATTTCTTATTGTAGACATAGGATAAGTCAAAATCGATTACCAAATCTATATTTGTTTCTATTAAAAAAAATTATTAAAAATTTAAAATCTAGCAATAACTTTTATAATTCAGTACTTGATCATTTTACTCAAAAACAAAGACAAATCCCACTTATTTATAAATCTTAATTTTTTTATGGTTTGGCTAATATAACAATAATTTTCGATTGCTTCACTAGTAGTAAACTTGACGTTTCGGTTATATATACATCATTAAACTGCAATTTTGAGGGCGATTCCAAATTTATATAAATTTATGTATTTTTTAAAAAATTTTACAAATATTTTTAATCAATTTTATAAAATTTTTAGTAAATATCAGAGACCTACAGAGGTACCATTCGCAAGCGGCTTAGATTTTTTTTCAAAAATTTTTTTCGACCTGGGCCTGGTTTTATATTTTCAGGTTCGACCCGGATATTTTTTAAATATTTCTTTTTAATTTTTATATCTAATAATATCGATTTTAAATATTTGGTTTTAATAAGGCCTGGCCTGAGTATTTATTTAAAAAAATTTTATTCTAGACCCAGCCCAAAATTTTTAAAAAATTTCAGGCCCATATTTAAAAAAATACGGGCAGAGGTTTCTCGTAAATATTTTATATCATTTAATTATTAGGATACTCATTAATCTAATTACAATCTTTGCTAACTGGAAGTTTTAATCAACAATATAATTTTTTTACATTCGAGATTTTGGAAAATATTTTTATGAACAAATTGTTTTTTATTTACATTTTCGTGATTTTGGCCAAATATTATATATATTTTTTTTTGATAGTTTTTTTATATTTTCTAGATTTTTGGGTATTCTCTATTTAAATTTCTAAATTAATGAAATAATAGAAAAGAAGAGAAATATTATACTAGGTGGAAATTTCATTTAACTAATCAACATTGACTATTTTAAAATGTAAATTTTTTAAAATAAATATGCAGTTGCTTTAGACATTTAATATCATGGTATTATATAGATAGACTTTTAAATATAAAATACTTATTTTCCATTCATATAATTTTTATCCTGCTCTTTGGTTTTTAAATAAATTTACCCCCCCCCCCCCCATATTTCAATTGATTGATAGGTTTGGGTCTCTATTTATTTTATTTTAATATATTTCTACAAACATTAAAAAAAATGCAATATTGTGAAGTAAATAAGTATATACATTTCGCCAGAAGAATATGTAAAATTCACCCGATCGCCCATTGTTCTAAATTTTTAACGGCCATTGCAGACCTATAGGTTATTATTTATATATATCTTTACTTGGATCGAGGTTTATTGATATGACCGCTCATATCCATGCCCAGAAGATGTAAAAACATTATGATATGATCATTATTCAATGACATGTTTAAAGTTTGATTTTTATGAACTTCGATTTCTAAAAAATATTTCACTTTATCAAATACCCATTGGTCTAAATAATATGAGTCAGACATTGAGAAATCTTGAAAACTTGATTGATAGGAAAAAGTTTCACTATTGTGATTGGAAGTATCTATTAAAATGAATCCGTAATTATTATTGAAAAGAAAGTTCTTATAAATGTTAAAAGGTATTATTTAGAATAGAATTGATAACCCCGATCTCTCGAGATTTTGCGGAACCCTTCAAATATAATTTTTACCACCATAATTCGTAAAAATTTTATATAAAATAATAAATATTTTAAGTATATGTCAGTTGTTAGACTTAGATCATTAAACTAATAGAACAAAGAAAAGAACGAAATTAAATCTGTAAAATAATAAATATTTTAAGTGTATGTCAGTTGTTAGACTTAGATCATTAAACTAATAGACCAAAGAAAAGAACGAAATTAAATCTGCCAGTTAAATTGGGTATCTAAAATCTATACTTTAATGTTAACATCTGGGTTATTCTTTTAGATTTAAAAATATGTCTTGGCATTTAACACTTTTTTTTAAATTTTGGAACACAAGTTTTTTTAGTGTTGAAAGAACTTTTTTATCATTAAAATATATGAAATTATGGAGGATATAATTACAATTCGCTTTATATTTACGATGATAAATTATTTTTTAGGTGAAATGTAATAAAATATATTTAAAAACTTCCTTCATTTTAAATAAATTTTATTTTTTCTGCACTCGGACTGGCTCAAGAATTTTTCACTAAAGCCAGGCCCTTTATTTTAGGGCGAGGGTTATCAGTCTTGGTTAAATAAAATTAAAAATATTATCGAATATTATATTCTTAATTGAATGTATATACTCAATAATTATGAATTTGATAGAATATAAATATTAAAAGATATACGTTTATTAATAATGTTCATAATATCTGGACTTCCCCATGACCAGGAATAAAAACTTTCATTAAAAATTGTATCAAATGTATTGGCATTCTCCTTCCAACCTGTTCAATTTAATATTAAATATTTTTTTTAAATTAGTTAAATATAAAATATAAACTTTGGATTTAACTCTTCACTCATGGGGGCCATTCCATGTCAAATCGATCATGATTCTGCCGACCCCTTTAAAAATTATTAAAAATGTTCTGGAATTATTAAGATAGGTTAAAAAAAATGAGAAAGCTGCTTTTTTAATTCGATAGCACACCTGGTTCCCGAGATACATCAAAGGTGCGAAAAATAGTGTCTTCCGAATCTGTAAATTTTTTAAAGCTTATATCATAAATAATATATATAAAATTGACGTAAAAAATCTCTAAAGGTCTATAAGAAGAAAAAAAAAATTAGGGGCCAATTTGAGTCGTTAGCTTCCAATCTATATTCCTTTACTCGTGTTTTAGAATAGGGAGTTGGATTTCAAAAATTTTTTGTTGCCTTTTATATTTAGACACCTTTTATAAATATATATAAGATGTGAAAACCTATATAACCACATCTATCTTATGCAAATAATGTCAATTTGGAAAAAATGCAAGAGCCGATAATAGCTTCATTTTTTATCTATAAAATTTTCAATTTATTTAATTTTCTTCTTTTAATAGCTGATCTTTTTTACATATTTATTAGCCGTTATATTTTATTAATTTTAAATATAAAATTTAAAAAGGATGATTTATATGCAAAATTTTTTGAAGTCGGTCATTTCAAATCTGTGTAATTCCATGACAAAGACCACGATTCGGGTGACTCCCTTCGAATTTTTTAAAATTTGGTAAGCAAAGAAAGGTTAGTGTAGTTAAGAAATAGCCAAAATTTTAGCCTCGTAACATTTATATTTTTGGAGATATTAGGGTTCAAAGTGGCAAAAATGACGTATTTTTGATTCAACTTTTAAAATTTTTTTTTTCCAATTTTCGGGCATTTTATTTAATATGCAAGGACTAAAAACAATTTTTTGGAAATAATACGACCTTCAATTTTTAAAAAAAAAATTGGTCTGGGACGCGGCCATTTTCATTCTCAAAATCGATAAAAACGTTTATAAATATTTTTCAGAAAGGGGCGTCTTTGTATGAAATTATATATTAATCAGTTTTTAATGGTTTTTCTTGAACTATTTGACTAAAGGATTATTCATCTTGTAAGTGAAAATAACAATAAATGGGGCTTTTATTCAATTATAGAAATTATCTATCGATAAAAGAAATTCAATTTATTACTTTATTATAAAAATTTTTGCATAACATATATTTAATGAATATTAATAAAATATATTCAACCAAGTTTATAGTTCTTGAATATATGAATCAGAATCTTGTGCATTTCATATATGGCCCCCTAAATATTAAAAATAATTGATATAATATAAATTTAAAAATCTATATATAACTCACTTTAAAAGATTCAAATTTTTCGGTAGCGCATTTACTTTCCTGTGACGACAATGTATAACTATGGCCAGTAGCAGTTAATAGTGAAACTAATGTTAAGATATGACATTGGAAAGTAAATTGTGTCGTCTATACTTGGAAATGTAAAGGAATTACAAGGTCCGGATGGGTTTAAAAAATTTATATATATGTCTTCCTGCTTTTGATTTTTCCCCAAAACAAAGGATAACCACCAATTAGAATCATAAACACACGTTATGTATCCTGATATTTCTCCAAAAACTATACTTTCATCATTATATGATAAATATTCTATAGTGCTTTCTATTGAATTGGAATACATTTTACTTTAAAATTGATGTAGACCTGATAGAATCACGGTGTGAATTTTCTGTGTTCCAGGATAGGTCTAGTCTGAAAATCTTTCCTTGAGTAATAGTTCTTCGTAATCATAATTTTTTTGGGTCATATATTCAAAATATATGCCATTAATATTTTCTTTAGCGAACTCGTACAATTCATATGACGTGGTTATTTGCTTTGAGTAAGGCCTTTGTAAACTAGCTCTAGAGGATAATCTTTTAACAATGCCACCAATCCCATCACAAACACTTTTCCCGCGTGCTGTAGCAGAAAAATGTCATTCCGCCTGTACCCCGAAATCCATCCCATGATGGCAAATATTAATAAAATTTTTACGATTTTTATACTGTGCAGCAGATCCATCGGAAAAATAAAAATTTTTATTTGGCATACAAATTTTATTAATTAAAAAATTTACCCATGTTTTTTGGAAATAATGTACTGCTATTGTCTTATGTTGCAATGATTCGGATATCATTACATAATTTAGGCAACAAATATTGGCAAAATTATCTTTATCATATATAACAAAAGGGTGAACAGTGGATTGAGCTCTATTCCAATGATAACTTTGTACATCCTGAAGTATAAAGCTATAGTTTTCTGAAAAATCACATAAAATTAAATATTGGCCTTCGTATAAGTTCAATTTTAGATTGTTTTGATACAATAATTGTTGCGTTGAAATAAAAGAATGGGGTAATAAAGATTCTATTTTATCAAAAAGGCATTGATAAATTCATCTACTGGCTTGGTTATTGTTTTAAGAGTGGTTCCATCTACGGATAGCCATTGTTTGTATGTTATAAATTCTATGTCCTTAGAACGAAACAATATTTCTTGACCTGGTCAATTATCACATTTGCCCATATAAATTTATTTTATTGATTGAATCACTCATTTATTGTTAGGTTATTCTTTTTATGCCGATTTTAGAATATCCGATCCAATATTTATATTGTTTTGGGTTATTTTATGATGATAATACTTAAATTTTTTATATAATATCATAATAATAATAAATTATATTTGTAATATTTTAAAATATCAAATTATTTTAAAAAATTGTGTAGCGAAAATTTTGATATTATTTTTGGCGTCATATATGAAATGCACAAGATTTCATATATTCAAGAACTCGGTTGAACATATTTTATAATAATTATTAAATATATGTTATATGGGGATAAACTTTATAAAAAATTATAAATAAAGTAATAAATTGAATTTTTATCGATAGACAATTTCTGTAATTGAATGAAAGCCTCATTTATTGTTATTTTCACTTATAAGATGAATAATCCTTTAAATTATATCAAATAGTTCAAAAAAAAACCATTAAAAACTGATTAATATATAATTTAATACAAAGACGCCCCCTTTCGGGATATTATTTATACACTTTTCTAAACATTTTTATAGATTTCGAGAATGAAGATGGCCGCGTCCCAGACCAATTTTTTTTTATAAATATAAAGAAAGATTTTAGTAATGTCTACTAAATTTTTAAAAATTGAAGGTCGTGTTATTTCCAAAAAATTATTTTTAGTCCTTGCATATTAAATAAAATGGTCGGAAATTGGAAAAAAAATATTATTTAAAAGTAGAATCTTTGTACGTAATTTTGATATTAAATTTTACTATTTACAATCATGTTTAAGATGTGCTTAATTGAATGAGGTAGATAATGGTAAAAATACGTCTATTTTGTCACTTTCAACCCTAATATCTCCAAAAATATAAATGTTACGAGGCTAACAATTTGGCTATTTCTTAACTACACTAACCTTTCTTTGCTTACCAAATTTTGAAAAAATCGAAGGGGGTCGGCTGTAAATCTCATTTTTTTTGCTCATTTAATATGGAATGGCCCAGAATATCAGGCGTCTAACAATCACATCTTTCAATTTCGATAAAATTTTTTATGAAGATTATAATTAGAACTAGATCAGCACCGAAATTTGAACTTGCTAGCTTTTATAACACCCATAATAGACGTCATTATTACCTTTTTCGGATTCTAAATAATTAGTTCTTATTTAAAAACTAAATCAATTTGAATATTAATTATGGGAAAAAATAAGTTTGTTAGGTATGTATGATCATCTTATATCCAGTAAAATGGTCAAAACTGAATTTAATTTTTGAAATTTATTTTATTGTTATTAAGTGATTAACTAGCTAATGTTTCCTTTGATAATTTGTGTGGTGAACAAATATTTACAAAAATTAATGCAAATATCTCTAAAAATGTAAAGATGGCCTTATATTTAAAATTATAATGTAACCAAAGGTACTTTTCATTGATTACATATATATATTAAAGGCAAAATAAGCAATTTATGTGTAATATTATGTAAATTGACATAATTATTTTTATCAGAGACCTGCAAGCCCGGCCCTGGCCGGGCCGTATTTTAAATTTTTTAAATATACCCGGGCCGGGCCGGACCTAAAAAAATTTTATCCGGGCCGGGCCTAAAAAATTTTTTTTAAATATATCCGGTCCGGGCCGTGCCTAAGATTTTTAAACCCGGGCCGGGCCGGCCTTAATATTTTTTATAAAAAATTTTACATTATGAGTTATTGGTTATAAGATTATATTATATTATAGTTATGATTAATATAATATTGGGTGATGGTTAACACTACCTAACACCCACAGATCGATCTAATTATTAATTTCCTGAAAGATACCGGAAAACTCCATTTTAAATTACTTAATATATTTTAATATCTAAAATTTCAGTGCTCCCAAATTGTGTTAGAAAACTTAGAAGTTAGACTTAGAACAGTATGTATAATTATTATAAATATATTTTAAATTACTTAATATATGTTATTATCTAGAATTGCAGTGCTCCACTAATCATTATCAAATTTTGTTAGAAAAGTTAGACTTAGAACAGTTGTGTTAGAAGAATAGTTTAGAAGTGGATATATCCCATAAACAGATTTAAGTAATAAAAAATTCTTTTGAATTATTCTCTTTAAATAAAAATGTACATTGATATTTTTTAGCTTCATATATTAGTTTATAAAATCTATTTCAAATTAGATTGAATCTTTTTGTAAATAATATAAAATTTTAATAACATACTTTTTCTTATAACTATAATATTCAGTTTAAATTTATTATAATAAATAAATATAATAATTTCAATCTACATTATTTAATAAATATTGATATTAGATATTTATAATCAATGTAAGATATAAATAATTAATTAATATTTATTATCATTAGAATTAGTGATACTCAATCAATCAATTTTAAGCATTCAAGAAGCTAAAGTAAAAATTTAATATTAAATATAAATCTTATAATTCATATCTAAATTTTTAGAATATTTCCAAAACAATCAATAAAAGGAATATCATGGCACAAAACACTAAAGATATAATTGACAAAATTAAAAATAATATTTATTCTTTTAAAAATACTAATAATACTTTAAAATCTGAAATTTGGTCTAAATTTAAAATAATAATAGATAATAATAATAAAAAAAATATTGGCTATGTGCAATGCATAAATTGTTCAAATTTATTATCTTATAATTATAACCATGGTACATCACATTTAAAAAGACATAAATGTGATGGTAAATCTATGAAAATTAATAAATTTTTTTTTACACCTGAAAAACCCACTTATAAATGTAATATGAAATATTTAAAACAAAAATTTATAGATCATTCCTTAACACTTTGCGCAAAAGATATTAGACCTTTCGAAATGATAGCTGAGAATGGGTTTCTTGAATTCAGCCAGGCTCTAGTCGATGTTGGGGCAACATATGGTAAAATAGATATCAACTCATTAATTTCACATCCCACCACTCTATCACGCCACCTTAAAGAAAAATGTAATAAAATAAGAAGCATTTTGGTTGATACTATTGCCCCAGTAATCAAGAATCGATTTATGGCTGCTTCCACTGATATATGGTGCGATGACCATAAAAAGAACTCGTTTATAACAGTTAACATGCACTATATATCAGATGACTGGAAGTTAGTGAAGAGAAACCTATTTACCGCTAAATTTAAAGAAGTGTCTAAGACTAGCCAAGTAGTTAAGGATGAACTATTAAAAAATTTTCATAATTTTAGTTTTAACAATAACGATTTTATTAATATAATTTTTGTTACAGACCAAGGTAAAAATATTATAAAAGCATTGGAGTTAAATGAACGATTAAATTGTTCTTGTCATTTATTAAATACAATTTTAAGAAATTCATTTAACTCCAAATATTTGGAAAGTAATGCCCCATTAATAAAATCAACAATAGATAATACTAAAATATTAGTGGGGCATTTAAAACAAAGTAATAAATGCCAGCATTTAAAAGCCCTTTATCAAGATATAGAAGTCCGCTGGAACTCTAAGTACAATATGCTCAATTCTGTTTATTCTCAAAATGAAGAAATTAAAAAAGTTCTTCTAGAACATGGGGGATCGGAAAAGTATTATATTATAGACTTTCCGATCCTTCAGGATCTAGTCAACATTCTTGAGAATTTTAACAGAGCTATTGTTGAGTTACAGTCGGACTCTTGTACTCTTTTTAAAGTGGTAATATGGTATTATGAACTTCTTGAAGTTTGTAATACCTTTCAAAGCGAAAAAAGAGAAATAAAATTGATATTACTTAATATAAAGCATTTTTTAATTGAAAAATTTGTTTTACACAAGTATCATTTTATTTCTCTTTTTCTCTGTCCCAAATTCAAACAATTACGTATGTTGTCAGGGACAGATCGCAAGATGGCGGAAAACTATATAAAAGATTATATTAAATCACAAGAGGCTCAGGAAGTAAATGAAATACCATCGACCAGTCAAATTACGACTGTTGTTAAACAAACTGAGTCGTTTTATGACAAATGGGGCGATGGTAATTCTGGTAATATCTCAATACCCGATGATGAATATTATAATTATATAAACAAAAAAACAGATGAAATATTTAAGGTGGATAATTTGTTAGAGTGGTGGGCTTCTCATCAAAGCGAATTCCCAATTTTAGCAAAATTGGCAAAACGGGTATTGGCTATTCCTGCTTCAAGTGCAAGCTGTGAGCGGAATTTTTCCACTACTGGAAGAATTCTTGAAGAAAGAAGAAGTAATCTTCAACCTGAAAAGGTAGATATGCTTCTCTTTCTTCATGATAATTTGTGAATTTTTAATATCTTTCTTGAGTATAGGGTTTCGTCAATCATGCTGGTTTTTTACTTTGCAAACTGTCAAATATTTATTGCATTTATTATATTTTACCTTGAGTCATGAAAGTTTTTTATTATTTTTTTTACAATATATTATATAATACAATTATCTTCTTTTGTTAAAAATTTATATTATTAAATAAATTATATTAATTTGTGCAATTTGATTATATTTTCAAAATACTATTTATTATACATGCATTTTTTTAAATAGCGATTTATTTTTACTTTATAAATTAAATAGTAAATTAAATACAATATATTATATTGTCAAAATATTTTCCATTTTTATAAATTATATATTAGTTTTATTATTTTTAAATGCAATATAAAATATAGTATATGCTCAAAATATTATTACCATTTTTATGAATATTAGTTTTATTTTAAATGCAATATAAAATATAGTATATGCTCAAAATATCCATTTTTATAAATAACAGTTTTATAATTTTTATAAATTTAATATAATATTCTCAAAATATTAGCTTTTTACATGTATTTTTTAAATAAAAATTAAAAATCACAAATAGAATCTTTTATATTCAAAAATATTATTTGCACAAATTTTTTATAGTATCAATTTGTAATTAAATATCTGAATAAAATATGAAATATACTTATATCCGGGCCTTAAATTTTAAAATCAGGGCCGGGCCGTAAAAAATTTTTTAAAAAAATATCAGGGCCGGGCCTTAAATTTTTTAATCCGGGCCGGGCCGTAAAAAATTTTTTTAAAAAATATCCGGGCCGGGCCGTGCAAATGGTACCTCTGCAGGTCTCTGATTTTTATGGCCAATATTATGTGAATTGCCAATTTACCAATAAATGAAACATTAAGCATTTACATGTTATAAAACATTTTTAAAAGGAAATCTTTTACTGCCTTAAAATATAGTGGCAATCAATCTTTAATTTAGTTATATACATAATTCATTATTGAAACTAGTTTAGTTTTTGATTAATTTTAAATCCTAAAAAGGTAAAAATGGTGCTTTACATTTTGAACCATAAATATTTTGGGTAATATACATAAGTTTCAACTTCAAATTTCATTCTTAAATAAAAACTTTTAATCTTCATACAAATTTTTATTGTAATTAAAATGGTTCAAAAAATACCTTATTATATTGATTTGACATGGCATGACCCATATAGTTTGGAAACAAGTTATATAATATTACATATATTAAATTCATAAAAACAAGATAATTTACATTCATTATGTTTCTTTCTATTGAAAAGAAAAAAACAATTTTTTAGATAATTAATGAGATTCACTTTTTTTATAATCAAAATTTAATTTTATGGGTTAAATATTAATCACATGGAATTTATTCTGATAAACCTAGTTTCAAATGCAATTTTAGGGCATGTAATTAGAACCAAGAATGGAACTTTTTATCCTGGTTTTTCAAATAAACAAGTATAAATATCGAAATCCAGACAACTTTTACAAAATATTTTTAGAGCCTTGGCCTGAATTTCACAAAAAAATTGTTTTAAGCTTAGAATTGGGAAAATTTATACCTTTTTCATTCACATAAAATTATTAGGGCCAAGCTAGACAGCTTGCATAAAATTATTTTACAGGACAGTTGAAAACTCTTTTCAAACATTTATATGAAATAGTTCAGACTATACCATAACCTCTAATCTAGAAAGCATATTTGCCTTTTAAATGCCATATTATATTATACACTTTTAAATGTCATAGTATATCAGCATATTTCTAGATGAAACATGTGTTTCAACAAGATGAAGCTCCATTATTAAGAATTCAACTTAAAATGGTATCTAATACAAGGATACTGTTGTAAAATGCAGCATAATATCCTGATTAACTAATTAATTAAAACGTTAAGGTATATCATGAAAAAACAAGAAAATGCTGCCCTATTATAAAAGTGATGCTTCAAAAATATATAGGTTACATGGATTTTTATTATCCAGGAATTATGTGGAAATCTTATAAATTCAATGCAGGATGAACAGAATTATGAATAATTAATATACAATGCTATTATATTAATCAATAAAAATTTAATAACATCTTATATAATCTATGTAGAATTTTTAAAAAAAACACTTCTTTAAATTAAGTAGCTTTATTTTTATTGTCATGTTCATTTGAACCATGATATCTAGATTTTACCTTTAAATATTGATGTTATATCTTCATGAATTCCAGCAAATATACTAACATGGCCTGGGCGAGATTCTGTAGGAACATGGGTTAAAGAAACTCCACATAATCCTTCCTTCATACATATATTTCTAGAACTAAGTTAATATAACTTAATTATAACATACTTAAGGAATTGTGTAGAATTCATAGATGTTTCATTATATAATGTGGCACTTCTAAGGCCATCTGCCACAATTAATATTAATCTTTTACAAATGGGAGATTTTATAAAATTTATTGGTTTTAGATTATTGATATATGGAGATTTTATATACAGATCAAATATTGAGATTATAAATATAGCATGAATTACCATTAAGATGAGATAATTCATTTAAAATTTTTTTTTTCATTCATTCATTACATACCTACTATGGGTTGAATTATTGATAATGCAGTCCATTGATGCAGTCATGATTTACATGATACGTGATTTATAGCGCTTATGTCTTCTATCTTTAAAGATTGAACAGAGCTTCGCTCGGTATTCCTCATTTCCATCTAACTGAACTAAATAAAGAGCCCTATATATGTTTGTGGGCAATCCGCACGTACAACAGTCAGAGAACTGTTATTTAAGGGAGATGATAGACTTACGCCAAATGGCTTATTAGCAAGAAATAAAAGTTATATTTTTTCTTATTTATACGCATTTTCCGAATCGATAAAAAAGTTAAGAAAATTTAACGAATTATTTAAAATTTGTATTTATAATAAAATGGATGTGTAAATAATATCGTGAACGAAATTTAGTAAACTATAAAGCAATATGAATTAAAATACATAAATCTTTATATATCAAATTTTAGAATGTCACCAAAAAGTACTACCATAGTAATACCTTACTTATTTCCCAATATTTAGTTGACTCAAAAATAGTTCATCCCAAAGGTAAATTGTTGATATAAACAAATTTATAAACGTATTTAATAGATTTAAAAACTCTTCTTTTAAATATGAAAGAAGGAGATATATTTTTATCCTATAAAGATTTACAAGATGTTATAAAGCATAAAAATTTAAATTACATAAATCTTAAGATGGCTATGAATTAGGAAATTTAGAGTGATTGAGAAAAGAATAAATCTTACCTTGTGATGACTTATTCTATAAAATTGACACACAACAATCCCTAGCAAGCTTCAAATTTACAAACAATTACACATTTTTTTTATTAAATTTATAAATTATATTGTATGTCTTATTTTAATGGTTACTTGGAAACATTAAAGTTCTTACCTTGTGATGACTTATTCTATAAAATTGACACACAACAATCCTTAACAAGCTTCAAATCTACAAACAATTGCTCATTTTTTATATAATATTTTTATTGAATTTATATTGAAATTTATAAATTATATTGTATGTCTTATTTTAAAGGTTACTTGGAAACATTAAAGATACCTTGTGATTCTATAAAATTGACACACAAAACAATCCCTAGCAAGCTTCAAATTTACAAACAATTACTCAATTTTTATATAAATTTTTTTATTGAATTTGTTAAAATTTATAAATTATATCTTTTGATATTATTTTTTTAAATAGAGTTTAAAAAATAAATTTCTCTTAATGAGCCCCCATAATGTTCTTAATTAATTTACCTAGATTAATTTAATTTTAAAAATTTTATGATTTGACATTTTTATTCATTTTATAAATGATTGTAATAACTTCAATAATATATTTCAATTTAATGAATAAAATTGAGTATTTAATAATATATTTCGTGTATAAATTTTAATACTATATTTAATTGCGTCATTTAATACTATATTTCGATTTTACCCTTCACTAGAAATGTTAAAAATCACTTAAACTTCAAAGGTGGGGTCTATTTTATCCCTAATACAAAATTAATAAAAATTTTTAGATTTAAATAAAAAATTAAATTTGTAGGCAAAATTCTCCTAAAAATAACTTAAATATTTTACCACAAAAAAAATTAAATTTGTATGCAAAATCTCCTAAAAATAACTTAAATATTTTACCACAAAAAAAATTGAATTTGTATGCAAAATCTCCTAAAAATAACTTAAATATTTTACCACAAAAAAAATAAATTTGTAGACAAAATTCTCCAAAGAATAACTTAAATATTTTACCACAAAAAATTAAATTTAGTATGCAAAATTCTCCTAAATATAACTTATATATTTTACCATAAAAAATTTAAAAAAAAACCATAAATATAAAAATAATATACCCCCCCCCCCCCCCCCCCGAGAGTGTTAACACTTTATTAAAACTTATTTTTTATTTAAAAAAATGATATTCATGTTATTTATTAAATTTTTTATATAGTCATTTTTGAGTTGATGATTTTAAAAAATAAGATTAATTCAGATTTTAAAAAAATCTCCAAATTTATTTTTAGAATGTGGGAAAAATTGTAGGGGAGACCGGGGATAGTGTGTTCCCGGGGTAGGTATTTCCTTCTCAAATAATTTAAAAGTTAATAAAGTTTAAGATTTGTAATTTAAGCCAAATATGTATTATAATAAGGTGCTTAAGTAGATCCAAAATTGTTTCGGACAAAATTGCTCATGAAAAATTTTAAATGCAAATTTAAGTTTCAACATACCCAAAGTAACTTTTTTAAATTTTACATTTTCACGAATAACTTTTTTTATAAAAGTTGTTCAGACTTAATATAAATTCTAAATGATAAAAAAATCTCCATTTTATCATATATAAAAATATTGACAATCATTATGTTATTTTAATATTCTAAATTTAATTTTTAAATGATCCTGTGGACCTGGGGAAGGTATTAGCGGGGTGCGTCTTTTCCTTTTACATACATTCATTAAAATATTGGTTCTGATTTTGTAAAATGGTTCGAACATATATTAGAAAAACTAACAAAGAAAATAATGATAATCAAAAGGCAAGTATTCTTCAAATGCTGAAATATAAGATACCTTTGACAGTTATAACCATGAATACGAATTTAAGTTATGGGAGGTATATTTATATATTTAAATTAGTATATATTTAAGAAACTAAGCATTAAGAGGTATAATAAATTGTTCAAAAGAAATGAAGATTTTCAAGAGCGATATCTTTACAGATCAGTATTTTCTCCTATTCAAGAAGCTAAATTAACAGATTATTTAATTAAAGGATCAAGATTATTTTCAGGATTATGCCCTAATCAAGTATTTTAATCCTTTGTTATATCATATATCTCTGTAAAATGATTTTTTTTATAATCTTTAAATTTATGCCATGGTATTTCTTTAGTTAAATAATAATAAACTTGAGAAAATTTTTTTAAATTATTTACATTATATGTTAATGAAACATCTTTATTAATTTTAAAATACTTTAAAGTAAGAATTTAACTTATACATTAGAATGATATTTATTTAAGTGTGTATGATATATATGTAAATAAAATGATGCTGCCATGTATATATATTAATTTTAAAATGATGCTGCCATGTATTAATATTAATTTTAAAATGATTTATTCAATGTAGCATTATATATATTATATCATGCATTAAATCATATCTTACCTATATATTAAAGATTTAATTATGTGTGTATGATATATATTTAAAATAAAATGATGCTGCCATGTATATTAATTTTAAAATGATTTATTCATTGATTTAGCATTAAATTATATCATGCATTAAAACATATTTTGGTTCTTACCTATACATTAGAGGTTTAATTATGTATGATATATTTTATTATATTAATTATTAAATAAATTCAGAATAAAACTTAAGAATTAGGATTTTAATTAGATTGCCTTAATATATAAATAATTTAATATCTTATGTTTAAATTTAGGTTAGAGTTTTAGCTTATCAAATGGCCATGAGGTATAGTTTACAAGTACCAAAATCTTGTGAAATAGCTCAATCAGCTGGTGAAGACTGGGTTGGAGCATTTATTAAAAGAAATCCAACCATTTCTTTGAGAACATCAGAGGCTACAAGTATAGCCAGGGCTACCAATTTTAATATGAAAATGCTTGATTTATTTTTTAATTATTTGACTGTCACAAGGGAAAATAACTTTCTACCATGTGATATATATAATATGGATGAAACTGGTTAATTAAAATATAAATGATAGCAAATCTTTAATATTTTCATAGGATTAACAACAGTTCAACGGCCTAATAAAGTTATTGCAAGGAAAGGCGAAAAACAGGTTGTGGCAATTACTACATCAGAATGTGGTACACTTATGACCTTGGCAATTGCTGTCAATGCTCTAGGAAATTCTATTCCACCTATGTTTATATATCCCAGGAAAAAATTTTATGATCATTATTTAAGAGATGGCCCTGTAGGATGCATTGGCGTGTCTAATGGTTCTGGGTGGATGCTGGCTGAAGATTTTATATATTTTTAAAATCATTTTATAAAATACACTAATCCCAGTCAAGATAAAAAAGTTTTGCTTATATTAGATAATCATAAATCTCACCAATCTATTGAAGTCATTGAGCTGTGCTCTGACAGTGGTATAGTTCTATTGACTCTCCCTCCCCTCTTCACCTTACAAAAAAATAGCCAGATCTAGGGCTAATAATCTGAAAAAAAAATCAAACCAATAATAAAAAAAGTTTAAATATGAATGCTGGCAAAAAAGAATTTTGTTTAGTGTGCCACAAAAACTATCAAACTCACCACCATAATGAAGATTGGATTGTCATTTATGGGCACATGGATCATGTTGTGATTTTAATCCATTTTTTATATGTAATAAATGTGTTGTATGTTAATATTATATGTTTGTTATGATTTTTATATGAAAATAATGAATAAAATGCTTAGAAAATGATAGTCTAAAACATGCCCCACAAAAGGATAATACATCCCCCGTCTCTTTTTCATGACTCAAAAATTTTCATTTTTTTTAAATTTAAATTTAAAAAAATATATAATATTTTTTTATTAGATATTAATTTCTACCGTAGATAATTATATAAAGAATAAAATAACATCAAAATTATTTTGATAAATTATTTCTCCTCCTTTTCACAGCCTCTCAATTTTTTATGGACAATATAACCCCGGTCTCCCCTATTAGCAATACAAATTAATCAAAGTAAAATAATAATTGGGATGATTATATGGTGTTGGTGTTGTAATGAAATGTATATAAAAATGGTATGATTAAAAAAGATATCTTTGTAGTCTTTATATCTATTTATAATATGTTAAAATAGAATAAATAAAAAAAAATATGCATAAAAATAAGACAAATACAATCAACTAAAATACTTTTGGTAAAAAATATAAAATATCAACATTTGTAATTAATCTTCATAATCAATAACATTTACAAAATGGGATTCAGAATTGTTAATATAAATGTTTGGTCAAATTTTTTTATATTTCCATCATCATATTTAAATGGTGGATACATTTGCCAGCAAAATGAAGCTCCATACCTAGCATACACCAATATCGGGGTATTGAGAAGTGTGGCAACACTTCGCAATTCAATATCCGTTGCCCATTCACCATTCTTATTTGCCTTTTCTATTATATACTGTTGCACATCATCTTCACACGTATTTTGACCTTGAGTATAATCTAATATATTTTTTATCATTATTTTTTGCAGCATCAGCAAGACCATATGTGATCTAATCAAACCATAGGAGTCTTGTTTTCCTGTTATCTCCATACTTATACATCTAATTATTTTTTTAAAATTTTAATTATGTTACTGTTTCTAAAAACCTATCAATGTTTTAAAAAAATAATATTATGAATTAATATAGGATATAATCATTAAAATTTAAGGTAAAGAAAGAAACAAAACCATATTCTATGTATATTAGTAAAAAGAATACAACCAAAATTATTTTTAAATTTTTAAATTACCGGTAAAAACAATTCCCATCTAGCTCAATTGTTTCCAATCGTGACGGAGCAGTTAGCACCCTTCCTATATTTTGAGAGACTTTCTTTTTTGCTGACGCTAAATTTAAGCGAGTAGCATGATATTTCCTCCAAATATTGGTAGTTGGATTATAAAAATGTTTAAATGTATGTTGAATGATTTTAACGAGTGGGTCATCTATGGCTTTAAATATTTAAAAAAATTAAATTAATCATGATATTTAAGAATTACAATTAACTGTATATAATTATAAAATTACAATTTTTGAACTTTGAGTCTGAGTATACAAAGTCTATTAAGTCCACTTGAAGATCCTTCAAAAGGTGTAAAGAAGATTTTTTATAATCTAAAAAAGTTTAAAAATTTGTCTTTATCAACAATTTACCTTTGGTATTAACTATTTTTGGGTCAACAAAGTTTTGGGAATTAAGGTCTTGTTGAAATTTTAACTTTTTATCTATATGATTTTCTTTGGATTTGTATGCCTTTTCTATATTATATACTATTAACAATAAATAAAGTCAATGTACTTTTTTGTGAATTCAATATTGTAAACCCTAATGGTCTCCCGCTTTTATTTAATTTCTTAGGTAATTGAATTTTTTTAATGATATTATTTATACATTCATTTTCTTGACTATTATAAACATCTTTTTTTAAAAAAATTGGGACATTATTTTTATTTTACTGTATTTAGGATCCACGTTTAGTGTATAAGATCCTCATTTAATACATTTGCTATACTATTATTGGAGAATATCTGACCATTATTTTCATTTGAGCTTGTATTGAAATTATTTGAGAAAATAATTGGTAATATTCCTTTCATAGCAAAATCATATAGTTTGTCAAAAGCCTGAGCAAACCCATGTTTCAAATTAGGTGGTAATAATGATATGGTGTGAAAAAGCACATTTTGATTTTTAAAATAATTATAGGATGAAATTTGGTCATTAAAAAGGGTTTTTTTATTTTATCCCTTTTTTGTTATTTATTATATCTATATTATTATTATTGATAAATGTCGATGCATTTTTAAAATAATTTTTGTGCCACCTTTGATGACATAATTTTTCATCGTAAAGATTACTATTATTTTTTTTCCTTTCCATAAATACATGTCTGCATGGTAATTGCATATTTTAAAAAAAGGGGCAATCACAATAAAACATATCTGATTGGCAAACAAGATTGCAGTTATCACCAACATTATATTCATATTTTAACTCTTTGTATGCATATTCTGTTAACAAATTTCTATAATTAGCCAATGTTTGATCTTCCTCATTTATAAATGAGATTTTAATTTTTTTCATTAAATTATCATGTTCTCTTTCAGCACTTAACATTTTAATTGACATAATTAAATCAGTAAACATATTTGGAAGGGTAGAGTATTTGGTTATGTTAATTTTTAAATATTTGTTAATGCTCTCTACCCTGTTATTTGTATATTGTTTAAAGTTTAAATGATATCTTTTCCAAGCATCGGACCTTTCATATCTGATATGATGCCAGCCAGAAAAATAGTTATTTAATGATTCTAGATTTAAATTAGTTAATTTGTGATAATTTTCAAAATATATGTCAGAAGACTGTGCATCTAGCATGCTATATAACAGATGCTTCACATTATTAATCATATCATTAGGAATATTCCTTTTTTTGTGGGTAACTTCCTTATCCCAAGCTCTGGTTATATGTTTCCTACATAATTCCAATTGAATATGAGGGAATGCCCCAATGTAAGCTTTTCTCCCAGCACAATCTTTATCACTAACAATGACCTTTATATCTGTCCAAGCTGAATTCAGTTTTTTAAAAATTTGAAGCATTTGTGATGCTACATCAAATGACTCCGATTTGACAATCCATACACATATAATATGTGATCTATTATTTCCATCAATTGATACCAAAATATACACAGGCATATGCCTATTATTTAATCGATATGTTGCATCCACACATATAACTTCAGGATATTTTGTAAAAATATACTGCATTTGATGAGTTTGATAATATATACCAATTAGATTCCCATCTACAGTATATAATTCCATATTAGCATCATTATCTTCCTTAACTTTATCTATCATTGTAATTAAATCATTATCATAAGTTTTTTTTGTATTTTTGTCTATATTATGCAAATCTCTTAGGGTTATAAACTTTCCTTCAAAAAATAGTTTATTTTTTATTTTGGATTTATTTCCTCCTGTAGTTATAGCTTCAACTACAAATTTATACTGTGCTTCATTAAGCTTTCTTTGTCTGGGTAATGATTGGTATAAATTTTCATCTAAAATTAGATAGTATTTTTATAATCAAAAAATGGATTTTTCATTTGTTTTAAAAACATTATTTCATACTTTTATCTTATATATATATTCTATCAAAATTTAATAAATTAACCCTATAAGCCTATCCATATCACTAAGTTAAATTATATATTTATCTTAATAATTTCAAGATTATGTGCCTTTACCATGGGGATGATTGTGATTTTCATGCATATCCTTGACAAATAATTTGTTTTTCATGAATGTAATTTGCAAATGGAATTGATATCCTTGTTTTATAGACATGGAATTGCGTAGACCTGTGGATTTTGTATTGTACTTTACACCAAATATACAAAGAAATTTTATGCTTTTATATCTAAATTTTTCAAAAAGAGGTGATTTTAAAATTTTTGAATCTGATATATAGAGATTTATGTAATTTAAATTTTCATATTGCTTTATAGCATCTTGTAAATCTTTATAGGATAAAAATATATATCCTTCTTTCATATTTAAAAGAAGAGTTTTTAAATCTATTAAATACGTTTATAAATTTGTCTATATCAACAATTTACCTTTGGTATGAACTACTAAATATTGGGAAATAAGTTAGTACTTTTTGGTGACATTCTAAAATCTGATATATAAAGATTTATGCAATTTAAATTTTCAGATTGCTTTATAGCATCTTGTAAATCTTTATAGGATAAAAATATATCTCCTTCTTTCATATTTAAAAGAAGAGTTTTTAAATCTATTAAAAAGGTTTATAAATTTGTCTATATCAACAATTTACCTTTGGTATGAACTATTTTTGAGTCAACTAAATATTGGGAAATAAGTAAGGTAATACTATGGTAGTACTTTTTGGTGACATTCTAAAATCTGATATATATAGATTTATGTATTTTAAATTTTCATATTGCTTTATAGTTTACTAAATTTCATTCACGATATTAATTATACATCCATTTTATTATAAATACAAATTTAATTCGTTAAATTTTCGTAACTTTTTTATCGATTCGGAAAATGCGTATAAATGAGAAAAAATATGCTAATACGCCATTTGGCGTAAGTCTATCATCTCCTGTTATTTAAAGGTCCATAGGCTAAGAAAAGAAGAGCTGGGCAAAAAAGGCCTATGCCCTAGAACTTCAGTGTAATTTAATATTTTGAGGGCGGGAGATGGATAATTATAAGTTTAAATTC